GTGAAGTTACGCACCTGTAGACTGCAGAATGCAATTTACACCCTGTGCAATGAAAGCTTGTCCTGCTCAACGTCGGAACGTGACTTAGGTCTAGTTCTAACGGAGAAAATGGACACAAGCGTAAATTACACGGGGGATGTAGCGAAGGCATATGCGGTCATACACTTTACACATAGACACTTAGGTGTACTCACTCCTGAGCTCTTTCTAAGGTTGTATAAAACATACATCAGACCGCACCTTGAATTGCATAATATTATTGCACCCCCACTGCTTAGAAGAGATGCCAACCTCTTGGAAAGAATCCAACGACGGGCAACAAAAGGAGTGGTTGGTCTCCGAAATGAACCATATGACGAAAGGCTGGAGAAATAAGGCCTATTCACACTTAGTTACCGTCGTCTGAGGGGGAATTTAATTACTGCCTACAAAATAACAAATGATCAGAATCACCCAAACAAAGGTGTTCTGCCATTGAGTGGGCATAGGTTACCTCGTGGAAATCCTAGAAGGATAGCTCATCAGAGAGCAAGGACCCGGGTGGACTCCCACTTCTTTTCCCCGCGGGTTTGCCGTCACTGGAATTCCTTACCGGCAGATGTAGCTATGGCACCGTCTGGGGACGTCTTCAAGCGAAGACTGGACAACCATGCAGCGACACAAGGACTTCATCCAAATGGCCTATCCCCTTAAAATCGCACACACCATTCAAAGGTAGACAGTTAAAATGGTCGTTTTACTTCTTTACATTCCCTCCCGTCTTACTCTCCTGACAGCTTTAACTGCACCTATTATTATTATCATTATCACCGGTATATACATATATATATAAACCGGTTGACTGACTGTTGTTACGTTTTCTTATTCTTTTTCTGTCTGTTAGTCTGAATACCTTCTCTAATTATATCTTTTATTAATATTCTCTTTTCTATTGACGACGATACCGAAGGACCAACTGGTGAAAGGATCAACTCCATTCACAGTAGTAACAGTCTTAACACACCTCATTCTACAAACCACATAATAATAATAATAGTATATTCTCATTTTTCTTTACATGAGGGACGCCAGTTTACAGGCATCATCAATTCGATAAATTACACATACGATTAGTAAGTATAGTTAGTAATGACAATATAATAAGGTACATATTTAATCATTCAAATATAGGACACACAAGTTGTATAGGAATGGATAAGAATTATTTAAGTGACATATTTAAATTACATGATTTACGGTTAAATAACATGGTTGCTGTCATTTTATCTTTAGTTTGTTGGGAAAATCGGATAACTGGCAATTCAATGGACCACGTCACGAGATATAGAGATATTGACTTCACATTAACAAAAAAACCCAGGTATGTGTTGGATGGATTACAGATACTTGGGAAAATAAATAAAGCTTAAAGTCAATTCCCTCATATAACAATAAAATGCGTCTTACAATAATATATTCCCACTTTATGCACTTGAGGGACTCCAGTTGACAGGCATCATCGATATCATAATAATGCACACATGAAGTAAAAATGTTTAAAATTTTTCACTAACACAAAATATATATACAAGGGAAGATAATGAAATATTGACCGTAAGTACACTCTGCATAAGTTAAAACAGTTTATATGGCATAATCCTAGGCACAATTATTGTTTGAATTTGTTGAACATGAGCGAAACAACTGAGTGTTGCGTTACATTCGGTCGATATGGTGGGCTAGTCACAAAAGTATAAAAATGACTTATAAAACGTTACTCAGTTTTAAGCAATATAAACTGCAAAAGGCTCACCACAGCAGTTAGTATCCAGTTAAACATGCAGAGAAGTAATTATAATTCAGCAACTGGTGAATTTTTTATACTTTTCGGTCTGGAACCTGAGTAACTGCGAACCAATCCATACAAAAATGTCGAAAGAGGCATGCAGGAGCAGAGTTTTGCCATCGAATGAGTCATTGGGATCTGAGATGCAGCTATCAGCATGTTTTCGTCATTTCATAGATATCCAGATTTATTGACGCTGTACAGGTAGTGATTTCGATTGGTCATCATGATCGACATATGGACGAATATTCAAAATTGGAATACAACTTGTTTGCATTTCGGATTCAGTTAATTACATCGCGTGTTGGGTTTGATTACTCTGCGATTTTGATATATTCCGCGGTGTCGCCGTGATTATGGGAAGTGTGCATATGCTTTAAATGCATTACTTTGTTGGCTGCAATCTCCACTGAGTGTATACAACGGGAACTGTGGATTTATGTATTTGCTCATAACTGTGGATAAAATATCGCCGCATTCCTTTTGGAAAGGAGACCAGTTGGTGGATTATAAATAATGTCCAAGTAACTTATATCCTTCCATGTGATGTTGTGGTAAGTCTCGACCTTGTTTTCTCATATTTCATTCGTATGTTGATTATGGTTCAGGCTTTGTATCAGGTAGACATAATTCGATCGACTCTTATTTGTATGGGTGTTATTTTCATGACTGCTGCTTTTTTGTCTGAAATTATAGATAAAGGCAAAAGAAACAACAGGTGTAGTCTCTAAGTTCATACATTAAATGGGCCTATAATTTCTGAAGCTCTTACATGGGAATTAGCACTGGTATCACTTACAAACCCACTTAGTGTGTCATTAAGAGCTTTTTCAAAGGACACCAGTGAACTTGCTAGTCACATTTCCTCAGGTAGTTTGTTCCATATTTGGGCATACCTAATCATGAAAAATTTTTGCCTGGTGGCTGTTTTACATTGTTCTATAGCCACCGTACCTTGAGTGTGTCTAAGGTTATATCCAGTGTCTTCTGAAAACCGAGTACAATTAGTAGGGGTATACACTATGTGGTTAAGTAGTTTATAGAAGAGTACCAGATTTAGTCGCAGTCGTCTTAACCATAATGTTTCTAGTCCTAGAATTTCACATCTGGTAGAGTAGTTTGTGCCGTTTTCGGTTTCGAGTACTTTCAGCGTGAAGTACCTCTGTACTCCTTCTACTTTTAGTTTGTCTTCTATGCGTATACTACTAAATATGAATGAACAATAGTCTAGGAGTGGGCGCACACAAACCTTGTACAGTAGTATTCTGGATTCACTTCTGTAGAAGTTTCTGAGTAGGAAACCAATAAGCCTGCGTGATTTCGATACTTGTTTCGAGATATGTTCAGAAAATGATAGATTGTGTGAATATGTCAGTCCTAGGTCTAGCACAGATTTGAGTCTAGGGATTTTGTGGCCCTGAATTGCTAGGTCGAGTTCTAGGTTAGGACAGCCTATGCAGAGCCAGCCACACTTTTCGACATTAAACTCAAGTCTCCAGGTGTCACACCATATATCCATTTTTGTTAATTCTTCATGTATGGAGTTCATAGTTGTACCGATATCTGTGTTTGTGCAGGTATATGTCACCTTTAAGTCATCTGCATACAGTATTGGCTTGCCTATACTAAAGCACTCACATATACTGTTTATGTATATAATGAAAAGAAGGAGTCCCAATACATTCCCCTGGATGACACCACTGCTAATCGGCCCAGGCCTGGAGGTCATCGAGCCAATTTTTGTTGTCTGATTTCTGTCACTGAGAAATGATTTTATCCAGTTGTGGAGGGGGTTGCGTATCCCTAGTGAGCATAGCCTACTGACTAACAGACTATGTGGGACTCTGTCGAAGGCTTTCCTGATATCGAAATAGAGGATAATTATTAGTTCTCTCCTATCTCTTCTATAGGTGACTTCGTTGAAAAAGTCTATATGGCAAGTGACGCAAGATCTTTTTTTGAGGAATCCGTGTTGCGACTGGTTGATGAGTTTGTGTTTTAGAAAGTAGTCTGACATTTGGTCTTTGATTACTTTCTCCATGATCCTTGATATGACAGGTGTTATATTGATAGGCCTATAATTACATGCACTAGTTTTGGCCCCTCCTTTATGCTTAGGTAGTATATACGTGTTTTTCCAAGTTTCAGGGTAGGTCCCAGTCACTAGTGAGAGGGTGAATATTCTAAGTAATAGTACTATCATATCCGAGCCACCGTTTTTATAAATGATAGATGGTATATCATCTATCCCACAACTACCGTTAGCTTTTAGTGTCTTTACCGCTGATGCTATATTTTGCATATTAAAGTTGATTTCACCTAACTCGTAGTTATTTTTGCAGGTTATATCGAGGATTGGAGACGGATGCGCTTTGGTGTTATTGGAGAACCGTTGGTTTAGGAGTTCACAAATAATCTGGGGATCATCATAAATTATACCTTCATGCTCCAATTGACCAACATTATTTTCTTTACCCTTGTTTAGTCGTTTTTGCAAGATCTTGCAGAGTTCCTGAGTTTTAGAGGTGCCCCCTAGGGCTTTATTTTCCTCGAATTGTGCCTTCATTTTATGTCTCTGCTCAAGATTTTTAAATGTTTCATGTATCTGGTGTAATGCACTAAATTCTTTATATAAATAAAATTTCCTTTTCAATTTCCTTAGTTTTAATCGCGTTTTGCGGTCTGTGAAAAGAGTTGGTGTCCTTAAGGCAGACTTTAGGGGTGCGATTGTATCGCTTACCGAACTGACCGTCTTGTAGAAGGTATCAAGTGTTACTTCTAAGTTATCATTGGTAAAGTATTCATCCCAGTCAGAGCTTCTCAAGAGCGTTGGTAGGAATTCCCAGTCGGCATTTCTATAGTCCCTATATTGATAGTGAACCGGGGAATTTTTAGGTGTGTGTTTAGTTATTAGTTGAAGAGGTAGGGTGCAGTACAGTATGTTATGATCACTGTTGTCGAGTTTATCCCCCACCTCTATCGAGATCGGCTTTATTTTGTGGCAGAGGGCTAAGTTGAGAATACAATTAATCCCTGCACTACTCCTTTTGGAGTCAACCAAAGATACGACAGTCGAGTGGCGGGACGAGCTACGCATAAGTTCACCGAAGATCTGGAACCTCTACCTTACAATCAAGAAGTGAGCTCAAAGAAATCATATTGGTTTATACTAGCTCGTAATCAGGATATTGGATATTGGGCGGCAATTCGAAAGCGGTTTATTCTTCGCTCTAACTAAAATCCTTGGTTGCGTTTTCAAACAACAGCCTACCATCCTCAAGCTAATGGTATGGTAGAACGTCTACACAGACAGTTGAAAGCTGGCTTATCAGCTGCAAATAACACCCATTGGACTGAATCCTTTCCGTTAGTTCTCCTAGGGATACGAAACGCTTTAAAAACCGATGCTGGTTGTACTACCGCTGAGCTAGTATATGGCACGACACTACGACTGCCAGGTGAGTTTATTTCTCCCTCGAGCTTCCCACCAGCGTTAGATCACTCCTCACACGTCAGCAGGCTTACAAACGCAATGCGTTCAGTTAAACCTGCTCCCCTCCGACCACAGTCTATTGATGTCTTCGTTCACCCCTGTTTAAAAACTTCTTCACACGTATTTGTTTGTCGCGACTCTGTGCGTCGCCCTCTAGAACCCCCGTATGACGGACCATATAAAGTAATTAAACATACGGATAGATTCTTTGTTTTAGGCAAAAAAGGCCGCGAAGACGCCGTCGGCATTGACCGTCTGAAACCGGCTTACTTAGAAGGTAACCCTATTAGCTTAGAGCTAAGCGTGCCCGATAATCCGCAAGTAATTGAAGATCCTTTAGTCCTAGAAGAACTCCTTAGCACGGCGAAAACCACCGAACCCTCTAAAAAACGCATTCTGGACGTCACGTGAGATTCCCGGAATACCTTCACACCTATATCACATAACTCATTCGTTCGTGGTATTAATCATTATTTCTTCTCTTCAGACACATCAACTTTTTTATGTAGCATCACTAAACACAACTAAAAGATTTTTTCCCATAACCGTACATTATACATGCACTTAAAAACAAAATTTATATTAGATGTATTTTTTTCGATATTTTAAACTTAACATTATTTTACTGTATCGTAGATACACGTCATTTTCTTTTACAGAAACGCTCATTTGGTATATTTTCCTCAACAAGGTTCTTAGCATTCTTGTTTTCTTTTCCAGGTGCCACGGGCACTGGACAAGAAACAAATGAAGCACGGGATCCAACGAACAACATCGAGGAAGCTAAGTACAGACACCCCATTAGCATAGGCAGACAGTCCAGTAGGCACTCCACCAAGCTGCTCGGAAGATTTTTTTCACCCATGAGGGAACCATTCCAACAACCCCACTAGAGGGGGAGTGAGCTGTAGCGGTAAATAATTCCCCAAAATTATTGACCACAACAATCATCACTCAACATTGGATGCTGACTCTTGCTGTTTAAGTCGACTTGTTTAGCTGAAGGCTTCCGGTCAAGCATCCTCGCCATGTGATACTCCGTCGTGTCACGTGCGTGCACGATTACTAGCTAGCTAAGCATTCACTTCAACCCGCGACTTGGTCCCAAATATGTTACGTACTTTGGACGACTAAATCTGGTCTTTTGCTTTGTCTTTGGTACTCGAAAAGCGAACACTATAGAAGTAGTTGGTATAAGATCTGCATTAGTATACTCCGTACAGTTCACGAACGTCGATACCTTCAGCTTCCAAACCATATTTATAAGACCAGAGACCGAAGCTCAATATACGCACCTCCTCAACTCCGTACCTGTGATATACAGTCGTAATTTGGTCATATGCTTAGCACTTAGAGTGAAGATTTCAGGCCATCTGGGATATTTTAAGCGAGAACGGATACCCAGAGTAAAATATTAGCTTACATGAAGCGGCAATAGTGGAGATGAAGTCATTATTTTTACTCCTCTAATTCAGAGCAGACGCTCCTGAAGAGATTCTACTCCAAGGTCCAACAAGAGGGGTAACGAAGACTTTGTACTCTGCACATATGTTCCTATCATTCAGCAGCCGTCCAATATTCAACGAGAAACTGAGAGACGTCTTGCCTAACATGAGCTCTTCCTCTTTGCATGCCATTTCAACTGTTCCAGTGATTTCAGTTATATAGGACGTGCGGTTAGGCAGGCTCATCTCCGGATTAGAAAACACTTTGTTTGGCAAGGAGGAAATCGGATGCACACAAAGTTCGATTATGTTCCTCTTGGTAGATATAGCACATCATATCGACACTAGCATAGCCTTCAGAGTTACACACTAAATTCCGAATTCAATACCACGCGTGGTTCTCCTACGTTTTCTATATTTATAGCTAAAGAAGCTGAAACAGCACTGACTAAATCGGAACTTTGTATCCAAAGGTGCACGTTTGCGCGTTTTTTCTACCCTATCGAAACTTGAACTTCAGTTTCATCTCTCTAGGAATTCTCCATCTTGTCACCCATTTTTCTCCCTTCACTTTGCTTATCTCAGTTTACTATTACAGTTGTTGTCATTCATTGCGACCGGTAATCGTCTTTCCTGCATTCGTCCAATACTGTCGAAAATTGCATTTGTACCATTCGGCCTCATCGTAAATGTTACTATCCATTTTCTTGATACACGCCCGCACGTGTTTTGTTCCACATGTTAGTTATTTTATGAAGAATATTTCGTTGCGGTCTTAGTACCCCCTCCTCATTTCACAATATTTCGTGGTCGATTTCAGCCCAACAAGTTGATTCTCCCCCCTATAACCAACACGTTATCCTAAGTCAATACATATCCCTCATATAACTGACCATTGCTGTGATGACATGCATTTTATTTTCCGACTGTAAGTGCCAGCGAAGAATTCATTGAAAAGACTATTCATCCTTCAGATTGACTTCCAATTCATGATGTAGAAAGCTTCACCGCTATGCAAATTTTCAGTATGCGTGTGACCAGGTTGTGTAATTACTTTCACATCCCAAGTTCTCAGTGTTGTGAAAAGGTTGAAGGGTTACAGGCAGTTTCATTACAGAAGACTTTTTATCAACAGACGGCCATAGATTAGTTGAACACATCTGGCAAGGTAAGCAATTTTCTAGGGATATGTGCCATTTGTTCAAAGGCATAGCCTTCGCAGAGATTAGAAGTTGTTGCCTCGAGAGGGAACGTGGTCATGAAAGCTGACATATATTAGGTTGCAGACTTCAATTCGATCAGATGAGTAAATAAACCTAGGATGGAGTGAAATAAAATCATCTCATAAAACAGGATATCTGATATTCTCTTTACGAACTAGTGTAAGCCAAGTCGGTTTCCTTAGACTGGCTTCTCAGATACGAATTAAGGGTCCCTGCTCATAGGTAAACTTCTGTGTAGTCTGTCTCTCCACCAGACTGCTCTAGCTTTGTGTGACTCCAAAGAAGAGCTGTGCTCAGATGGCCTGAATTAAATATATATATATATATATATATATTCCTGTTTATGCAGGAACATACCAATTGTACAGGCATGGATAAGTTATTATATAAATTACACATATTTCGATGTATGTAGAATTTACAGTTTGTTTGTTCTTTCTGACATTACAGTCAGTCGGAACAGTCTGCTAAATAGTCTGTCTGTGCAACACATAAAGAGATATAGAAATATTGTCTTCGCATTAACAAAAACTCAGCATGGCAGACTGTACATGTAAGTTGAGTAATACATTGAAAACTGTTTGAAAACCAGTTGCTCCTTTATTTCAGATCAAGAATACTCCTTGTACAGAATGTTGGCCAGCGTTTTCAAATGGTAGCATCGGATCGTTCATGGATTTTGAGTTTGAATTTACTTAAATGGTCATTTCAGTTTAGATGTTGGGTTGTTCGACCTCGACCAGGAGATATATAGAAGTGCAAGCTCAGGATATAATAACAGAAAGAGAAAGTATGTAAACATGAACAGGACGTTAATATTTTATGTATATATAAATGGCTATAAATGTATATCAATGTATAGTAAACACTACCTATAATCTAGTTGTTTTTCATGTGTTTTTGCGAAGTCTTAGAGTTTATTTAGTGTCGTAATATTTAGTAATGAGTCTAAGCGTTATAGTGTGCTAATAGCTCATGCGTTTTAGAAATAAGTGGTGCAGTGTGATCGGCATAGTCATTGGTATGAAGCAGTTTATATAGCAAGCGTTTGAAGGTTATAATAGAGTGACAGGTCCTTATCTCTAGGGGTAAACTGTTCCAGATCTTAGAATACATGACTATGAAGAAGTTTGCACGGAGTGCTGTCTTACAGTTTTTCCTAGATACTTTGCACGTTTGGTTACGAAGGTTGTAAGAGCCTTCCGGTGAGAACTGTATCTCCTTGCTGTCTGAGAATGATATTTTATGCAAGACTTTAAAGAAGAATGTTAGGTTAATGCTCAGTCGTCTCACCCAGAGTGGGTCGATACCTAGAGTTATACACCTTGATGTGTAGTCCTTTTCGCAGTCAAATCCTAGTAGTTTAGACGTGAAGTATCGTTGGACACTTTCTATTTTAAGTTTGTCACTTACGTGATTGCTGCTGAGAATAAATGGACAATATTCAAGTAGTGGTCTGACACAAGTTTTATATAATAATAGTTTCGCTTCGTAGTTGTGGAAATTCCTGAGTATGCAACCCAAGAGCATCCTCGATTTACGCGTCTGTGTCGCCACTTGCTCAGAAAATGTCAAGTCACTAGAGTACCTGAGTCCTAGGTCAACAACACTTTGGAGTTTAGGCAAGTCAAGAGATTCAAGTACCAGTTTAATATTTATTGAGGGTGCACCGAAACAGATCCAACCACATTTTTTAAGGTTGAATTTTAGGTTCCATGTGGAGGACCATGCGGTTACTCGATCTAGTTCTTCCTGAACAGCTTTCTGAAAGTACCCTAAGTCATCACAGTGGAATGTGTTAGCTACTTTAAGATCATTTGCAAAGATGAATGGTTTACCAAGTGAGAAACAGCTGCATATGTCGTTGACATATAGAGTGAATAGGAGGGGGCCTAAGACGCTACCTTGAACTACTCCAGAAGTGACTGGACTAGGCTTAGAATTTACAGACCCCAGTCTAACTACTTGGGACCTATTGTTAAGGAATAATTCAATCCATCCTAATAATGGGTTACGTATTCCTAAGGAGTTCAGCTTATTTGTTAGAAGTAAATGGTCAACGCGGTCAAAGGCTTTGGAGATGTCAAAGTAGATGACTAGTACTAGTTGTTGTTTGTCTCGGCTACTAGTTATATAGTTAAAGAAGTCAAGGTGACATGTCATGCATGATCTGGATTTTAGGAATCCATGTTGGTTGGGACTTAGAATATTGCAGCTGAGCATATGTTTGAGGATATCATCTTTAACTATTCTTTCAATGGTTCTAGATACTATGGGTGCAATATTGATTGGCCTATAGTTGTTGACTTCAGTTTTTGATCCGGATTTGTGTTTATGTACTATAAATGTGGTTTTCCATTTATCTGGATAGGTTTGGCTTTCTAGGGACATTGTAAAAATCTTAAGTAATAAAACGGAAATGTCAGAACCACCGTGTTTATAAAGATACGATGGTATACCGTCAAAACCAGCACTACTAGAGCTTTTAAGAGTTTTAATGGCTTGGTTAATATTAGAATAAGTGAAATGAACTGTAGTGATTTGTTTCAGCGTTGAGGAAGAAGGGAGTTCTATTGTAGATTGTAAACCGAGAAGTGGACTTGTGGGCTTAAGGTAGTTAGCTGCAAACGTCTCGTTAAGCAATTCACACATGTCTGCATGGTTGCTGTATAGTTTACCCTTGCTTATAAGGAGAGAAATTTTATGACTTTGGCGATTCATTCGTTTCTTTAGGATTGCTGTGAGAGCACCTACTCTGGTGGTGCTGGCTAGTGCGGTGCATTCTTCATTTCTCATACGCAAGTTATGAGCTTGCGAGATGGAGCTAAGAGTACTAAGTATTGACCCTAGTGTACTAAAGTCGTGTCGCCTGAAGTAACTTGTTGACAGTCTCTTCAGTTTCCTACGATCCTTTGGCTTTATGAATGACTTTCTATGTGGGGAAAACTTTAGTGTTTGAAGTGGGATGACAGCATCTAAGCATGTGTTGGAGTTATAGTAAAAGATGTCTAGAGCTTTCGAGAGGCTATCAGTATAGAAGTACTCACCCCATT